TTTATCAGGCGGGTTCTGCAATATACTTCCGAGTTAATTGCAACCAAGCCAGTTTGAATTTAAATTGCATGGGATTGAAATGCACTCGGAAACTGAATCGCTGAACCTGCCTATATATTAATATACAAAAAGTTAAAAAAAAAATAATTAAGCCCTTGGGGCTACCAACTTACCACCCCCGGCACCTGTTGCTTAAACAACTCCACAACTTCCTGCTTCTTTTTACGATGCGCATCTTCGTGCTTATCACTCTTCGCGTCACCTAACTGATCGCGGACATTTTCCAATTCTCGTTGCTTTTCAGCTATCTTCTCCTTGGAGCAGCCCACATCCCGACGCAGTTCATCCTTGATGCGATTTTGTTCCTCTAATGCGGCTTGTGATGATTTTATGTGATCCATTAGCTTGTCGCGCCTTTTGACTGCCTCTTCGCGTTGTAGAGTCAACTTTTTCAAGGACTCCTCCACCGATGCCTTACGATTGCCTTCCCCATCTAACATATCTTGATCGGACTTCTGTTCACGGTTCACCGAATCTAATTGTGAACGGTATTGTGTGGCTGTAGCTTCCGCTTGTTGTTTGAGGCGATCGTACTCCTGCACCAAACCTTCTTCCATCGTTACGCTTTTCCCACGACGCTGAGATTCGTTTTCGATTTCATCCTCAAAACGTTTTTTCAATGTCTCAACTTCAGCCAACTGCTTTTCCAGCTTACGAATATCTTGTTGATGTGCATTATCCGCTTCGCGCGCAGTCTCTAGAGTTTTCTGCAGTGATGTCAATTTCTTCTGACAATGGGTTATCTTTTCCTTGGCTTTAATATACAGTGGACGTTTTTTGTTCATTTGCGTTTCAAACTCTCGTATTTCTTGCTCTATTTTTGCCAAATCACGCGAAAACTTGCCAGCATCTTTCTTTTTTTCCCGCAATACCTCATCTGCTTGTTCCTTTCGAACTTCAACGCTTTTAACGTCTTTTTGCTTGGTTTCCAGATCTTGATTTAGTTTTTTAATATCGTTCTCTACGTGGTAAAGCTTAAACAGTTGATATTCCACCAGTTTCTCATTCTGTAATCGTTAATTTCAGGCTAATTTTATTAAGATCAACAATCAAAAAGAGAGTATTTGCTATATGGTTAACTCACATATTCATTTTTCAAACGCGCATAACGGTCTGCTTCCATCTTCTCATGTTTGGCTTCTTTACGTTCTGCAGCCATTCCTTTCTTTTTCTGATACGTAAATTGGGTTTCCTCCTCAGCTAAATTCATTTCTTGTTTTAAACGATTGTAATCCTCTCTAAGAAGCCCCGAACTGCAAATATACATATGAATGTATGTATATAAAAATATAGATATTAAAATATTCATACCCGCTGATCTCCTCGAACAACGCCGTGCGCTCTTTTGGCGTTTTCATTGCGATATTTTCTACAGCGCCTTGGAATACTAAAAAATTTTTCGCTTTCACGTTTATACCCATCTTTTCGAGTTTGGATAAGTAGGCACCGCTTGTTACATTCTTTATAATAAAAATATGTTTGCTATATGTACGTATATTATTTATTATAAGCACATAATTCGAATTTACCTCCCCATTTATGCGATATTCAGATGAACCGCCAATAACTGCTCGCTGAAAATCCATTTGTTGCTCATCATTGATGAGAAATTTAGCGGTTACATAGCAACTGCGCGACACCGGCTTGCCAATAGACGACCCATGAATTAGGTCATTGAGTCGTTTCACGCGCAAACTTGAAGTCTTCTCACCCATTACAAAACTAATTGCATCCATAAAATTTGACTTTCCTAGGACAGCGATTAGATTAGTATTTAATTGAAACGGGTTGAAACAATAAAACTATACCTGATCCATTTGGTCCAATGACTGCAGTAAATTTTTTTAGCGGGCCGACAATTACATGGCCTCGATACGACTTGAAATTTTCCATCTCAATGTACTGTAGGAAATACACATCCTCCTTGGGAGTTGAGGTGGAGGCCTCCACCGCCTCTTCATCCTCGGTCATTTCAATGTTGCGGTAGGGAGTTCGATTCTCTAACTATACTCTAGGCAAAATTTTAAAAGCAATAAATGTTAGAACTATTTGTAAGTTGGTGAAAAAAGACGCGCAGTTTTCCAGTATCCCAACATTGGTTTCCTCTTTTGACGTTTAATTTGAGATAGGGATTTCGAAAAAACATCGAAGCTAGGAATGTTGGAAAAATATCGATGCATCGAAAATATGGATGTTTCAAGACAATCTCCATATACCAAAGGTGACAATACAAAGAAAAATTATCAAAAAAGAAAACACAATTCATGAACTTAAAAACGGTGGAAAGTTATTAGAAAAATGCTGTTATGGTGAGAAGTTGTAAGCGTTCAAATAAATGTTTATTGGATGACCCACCCGTCACAGCAAAATATAAATTTTTTAACGTAACACACTAATTTTTAAGTTTCTCATTTGAGGGATTCACAGCGATGTCATAAGTGTCGTATTGTTGTATGTCGTAAACCTTAAAAGCTTAAATAAATGTTTAGAGAACTTGAAACCACAACCAACTATTTTTAACACTGCGAAAATACATAGTATGACTTGGATGGCACTTTGCAAACCCCTTTAACATGTTTTTTAGGCGTTTAAAGTTTACGACATACAACAATATGATACTTACGACACTGTTGTGAATACCCCAAATGTTTAAATGTAAAAAAATGACAAATATCGATGTATCGAGGCGCAAAAAACATCGATGTATTTTTGCCACTGACATCCTTAAAAGGTGTTCACACGCGGCGATTTTGCGTTCAACTTTTGCTTTCAACTCACGCAGGGTTGCACGAAAAACAAAGTTGAATGGCTAAATGTTGGCTGGCGACCAGCTTTGTTGAAAACGATTAGTTGAAAGGCCGTTCAACCAAAAGTAGAATTCAAAGTTGAACAATGCAAACGTCTTTTTAAGGCGAATATTTTTATATTTTTTTTTATATTTTGATATTTTTAGCCATTCCTTTTTTATTTCCTGCGTGAGTTGAACGCAAAAGTTGCCTGAAAAATCGCCCGTGCGAAAGCCCTTTAACCCTATTTTCCACATGTTTCGCGGCCTGGCCACGGTAATTGGAGTAAACAAGTAATTTTTAAGCAAAGAACAAAACCGACTTCAATTCTCATATAAAAATATATATATATATATTTCATGCTCTAATGATCGGATCTAATCCAGATTAGTTTGGGGCATAAAAATAAAAAAAAAACACCGACGAATTGATAACTTCCTCCTTGTTTGCAAGCCGGTTAAAAAATACCTTCTGATAAGTGTCAAAATATGCCAAAAGTGCCCATAGAGTGAGGAACACAAAAAAACGCATTTGTGCCCAGAATCAAGATATTCATCGTGGTAGAAGAATTTGCAAGTGGGATTATGGCACACGGTTGCATTTTCGTCAACAATAATTGGAATCACGCAAGTTCGTGAAGGTATTTTAAATATCCCCAATTCAAAAATATTTTTAATAGGGTTGCCACCTATTTTGAAACTTCTTAAACGTAATCGCTGAATCTATAAATTATTTTATACTTTTTAGCAGAGACCCAGAATAATAATTATTTCATGGTGTTTTAAAAAAGTCCTCAAAATTTTCGTAAGAATTATAAAAATCTTTTGATAATATGTGTGAGAAAATTTTTTTTAGTCATCGATAACTATTATTTTAAGTCTTATATTGTAAAAGTCTTGTCATAATAATTATCATTGAGAAAAATATTTTTAAATCTTCAAAAACTTTTATTTTGAGACTTATATTATAAAAACCTTTTGATAATAATTATGAGCGAAAAAATTTTGTATATAGTCCCGAACAGGCCCCAAACTCATAATTATTCGGACAGGTTCTGCAATTCACTTCCTACTGAATTTCAACGCCGGCCAATTTGAATACAAAGCGAGTTTGATTGAAATTCACTCGGAAGTGAATTGCAGAACATGCCTGATTATGAAAAAAGACTTTGAAGACATAAATATTTTGTCTCAGTGATAACAGTGGATCTACGAAGAAATTTACAATGGATCCGAGGTTACCTATTTTTTTGAGCAAACTTTAATTTAAAGACCTCCGACTATAGTGGTAAAGAGGTTTAGGGGTAAAGGGGAAGAGGGGCGGAAGTCCTTTCTGCGTAGGCGGCCTTTGGACGCGCTTAGGGATTATAACGCTCTTAATACCCTTAATACGCAGAATTCTCTTTTCTCTGTTGCCAGAAAGGTGGGGCGGAACTTCTTTCTGTGTAGGGGGCCTTCGGCTGCGCTTAGGGATTATAACCCTTACTTCGCAGAATTCTCCTTTACATGTTGCCGAGAAGTGAGCCGAAACGTCTTTCTGCGTAGGCGGCCTTTGGCCGCGCTTAGGGATTATAACCCTTGATACGCAGAATTCTCCTTTCTGTGTTGCCGAGAAGTGGGGCGAAACTTCTTTCTGTGTAGGCAGCCTTCGGACGCGCTTAGGGATTATAACAGTAAAAGTTACCGTGGCGTGTGTAAATAGACACTCCTTATTTTTTATGTAATTAAATATTTATATAAAAGATCTTATTTTTGCACAGACTTAATTATAGCTATATATTTTGAAGCCATTGCAAATCTTTTGAAACTTCTCCTATGCTAGTTTTGTGTGATTTTTTCTGTTTCTTAGCGACTTCATTTGTGGATTTCAAGCCCTCTTCTTCACCCGTAACGATGCTTTCGGAGTTCTTCCGGCTCTTTTTTCTTTTCTTTGTTTTTTCCTCACGTTCAAACACTCCATCCTCGTCAGTGCTATCAATTTGAATTGCGTTTTGCTCATTCGTTGTAAACGCCTTTGGTCTTTGTTTCATTTTGGACAAACCAGAATTTACATTTTTTATAATATTCCTATTTTTAATAGCATCATATAGTACTTTCGCCGATATTTCATCTGCCTTCTTCAGTCGTTCCGCGATATCCTTGTTAACACGTATGCTTTTGTCGAATTGATGACCATGCAGAGGATGGCGGACCTTGATCATTTCCGGAAATGGTACTCGACCCTGCGGCGGACACATAGCCTCAGCATTTTCCAATGTTACTGCTTCTGTTGCCTTCAGACGTCCGCGCAGCAGTATGTTGCCCTTTACTGGCAATAAACGTAGCGAATAGCGGCCTTTACGATTGCAATAACCAAATGCACGCGTCTCGGGCTCAGCATATTCCACTGCTACAGCTTCACACGAATTGAAATTTGTACGACCAGGAATTTTAAATTTTTGGCCTTGCAATTCTGATTCAACATCAAATCCTTTCGGGCATTGCAGAAACCAAACTTCATCTTCCACCTCATCGATGCCTGGGAATCCACCGATTGTGGTCAACTCTTGGGTAGGCTTGATTTCTTTGAAGTCCGTATTATCTTCAAGAAAACGTTCTTTAATGCTTATTGTTTCCATTTCACTTTCACTTTGTTCTTATCAAAAATAGTGAGTTAGGTGTAATTATATGTTTCTCGTGCGATAAAGCAGAGCTGGAAAACTATCGATGGGACTACCGATAGTATTGTTAGTCTGGAACTACGATGAACCATGGATAGTTTTTCGCAACTATCGATACTATCGACATTTTTTTGTTTTTTCGTTTTGTTTCTTTCATTTACACACGGCGATTTTTGTTGCCGCAACTCGACGTTTGTTGGAGAGAGCATGACGAGGAAAGGAGAGGGGCACCGAGTTGCTCGTGCTCGGGCAACACGCTTTGTGCTCTCGTTCGTCTGTGTAAATTGAACCGCTGTTCACAGCTGACAGCAACAATTGCATACACACAAATCGCCGTGTGTAAATGAAACGAGCAACACCAAAATGTGAAAAATCGCGGCGACAAAGTTTTCGTGTATAAACGCAGTCTTATGCAGACAAACTTTTGTTTGCCAAATTAAATGGCGACTGCTTAGTTTCCTCGGAGGTGGCATGAACCAAAAATACAAGATCACGTAAGAACGCGACGTTGTATTTGTAACTGGTTTTGAGAAAAAAGTTTGCGAAAGTGGGTTCGTTAGCTGAGCGTTTGTTTACATCACAAGCACCACTATTTTACACTTTTATTCAAGTAAAGAAGAGTTAATTCAACATGACAACATATTTTAAAGCATTTTGTTGCATCATTTTACCTAAATTGTGCGCTTAAAGTGGCTGACAATAATTTTGGCTAATTTTGGTTTTCGTTGTTTTCTTTGCTTTGTTTACTTTTCGCTCGTTTTCCAGTGAAACAAGATGGCGTAGAAGCCGCTAAAAAAATCGACTTTTTTCACTCTCTTGTTCTTACGTGATCTTGTGTCTTTCGTTCATGGTAACCGGCCCTTAAACTCATTCCCCTCCACCTCGCCCCACTCAGTGTTGTACCGGCATCCGTTTCTTTCCAGTCTGTTGGTGGCCTATGAGGCTTCCCTACGTATGAAGAAACAAAGTGACGGTAAGTGTAGCAGTGCATCCAGAGCAGCGCCACGTGTTGTAGTGAAAGCTTCCGTATAGCACATGGCTGTAGTTCTTTGAACTTTTGCAAGCAGACTTCCCACGCTCTTGATTGAGAATCTGCTCCACTATACCTGTTTACATTGCCAAAATGCTGCCGATTCTTTAGAGGTTTTGTGTTCCACGTAAGATTTCCACGATAGGTGTGTTTACAGAATTACTTCTATATACTTCACTTCGGGACAATTCTGAATTATGGCTCTTTTAATTGTGAAGGAAATCAGACCTATTTAACCTTCTCCGAAGCTTGGTTTCGGACCATAATATGAACGACGATGACGAAATAGCTAACAATACTTCTTTTTGGGACTATTAAAAAAAAAAAGAGTTTTGTTATGTTAATATATTTATTTTTTTTAAATAGAATTAAAAAAAGTTGTTTAATAAATAAATGTTTCAAATCTGGATTTTATTTTATTTCTTCATCTCTGCACGTCGATATTATTCAAAGGATCTTTTGAACGCTTGAGAAAAACGTTCAAATTTGATTACACATCAATTTGCAATTTTTTTAATGCAAATTTTACTATTTTATTAAATCCCAAATATTTAAAAGAAAATCCCCCCTCTCAAAAAATTTCAGTGTGGCAAAGCCATGCTTAAACACATCTGGAGAAAAGTCAAAAATCTGCCTTATAATCAAAAAACAGTAGTAATGAAACTACTTTATTTTTTGTATCATTCTATTCGGCACGTAAAAATACCTTTTACGGATCATGACATTCGTGAACGTACCATTTCATCCGTGAACGGATGTGACGATTCGAGCCCTGTTCATTTTAAAATTTCGATATATCGATACTATCGATAGTGGCTCTCGATAGCATCTGAAAATATCGATAGTAGGTGCAATCTTTTGCAACTTTTAGATTACATAAAACCCTTTTTTATATGGTGCTAAGCAAGAAATATTTAGGAACATAAAATTCCATCATTAATTTTTGTTATGTTTTTATAAATTCAGATTTTAAACTTTGTACAAAAATTAGAAAAGTTCTACTTATTTTCACTAAAATTTCAAACTTTTTAATCGGAATTTTGGTATACAATTTTGTAGACCATTTAATTCTAGTATAATAAAGTGGAAGTTTCAAACTGCTATAAAATCTCGCTAACTTTTAGCGTTGTTTTTGCTGTAAGTGCGTGGTATTATAACCCTTACTAAGTTGAATTCTCCTTTCTGTGTAAAGTGAAGACAATTGACTGCATACTGTATATCAAATGAACGCTTGATAAATTTCCTATATATTTCCAGGACTTTCATATATTTTCAGAACATCAAATTAAAAGGAAATAAATTCTTTATCGAATGATATCATCCATGAAAGGGTTTTGAAAAATTTAGATTTCAAAACATGCTTAATTTGAGCTTTTACCGTCAACAACTCTTATGGCTTTTCCAAAAAAAAAAATATACCGCTACGCTCACCTCAATGATCTTGATACATATACATTAATTTATTAAATTTGAGAATTGTACGTATTTTGCATTTATGTTAAAAGCTTATATTACATTTACATTGGACCAAAATGCGTGATTTGAAATCAGTCATTTGAAGGTGTTTACACTGCTTGATCCGCATTTGCTTTGACTTCTCATCAAATGAAAAGGGAAGACAAAAACAAAATGTATGTAAACAAACACTACATTTATTATATTGTTAACGCTTTTTGGACACAAAAAGGCAATTATTCTTTGATTAAACTAAAAATGTGTAATGCTCTTGTATAAACTAACAATTTTTACACACAAATTTCAAAGATTTATTTATTTCGTTGTGTTTGTTTTGTGTTTGAAAAATTCCAAATGTCAAAGACAAACCAAAGCTTTTGTGGAACTTTTGTTTCTGAGTGCGTTCAATAAAATAGTACGGCAATTGGAACGCATTTGTTTCGTGATTTTGTGTAAATGCGTCGAAATGCGTCATTATGGAAATGTGAATTTGTATGGAGAAATGCGTGATTTGGCCTCGCATTTGAGGTTTCTCGCCCAAATGACGCATTTGGGCTCAATGTAAATGTAATATTAGTAAAACTAGGATAAAACGTACTGTGGTGGAAAATTTAAAAATTTTTGAAAAATGGTAGCAAATTTACCAAACCGTTTTAAAGTGCCAACGCTGTTCACGGCTAATGTAAACAACCAACACACCGTCTTCAAAAATGGCACAACTGAAAATTTCGCAGTTTTGAAATTATGCGCTATAAATTTACACAGAGCTTTTATTTACCTTTCAGCAAAATTTGTTAATACAAATCTATGGTAGAGTCTCCCTTGTCCTTATGATTCGCATGTGATACGAAATAGTTTTTCGCATTTTCTGCACCTTTGAGTAACTTTCGAGTTGTGCTCGTTTTGAAAATGGTGTGCATATGTCAAAAAATTGTGTACGTGGGATATAACGCAAACGTCAAAAAGGAAACTGAAAATAAAGGAAAGGAAGCAGCAGAAACAAGTGCAAAGACGAGAAAATAAATTTTCAATTAGTTTTTGGTTTTTTGAAAATTTTTGCATTATAATTTCTATTTTGTTATCCGCGTAAACAAAGCGAATAAGAAGAGATTATTAGTGAAGGACGCATTCCATATCACCGATTTTGTGTAAGTATAAGTTATTACGCTTAGAAATAAGTAAATCTACTTAGAAAGGATTGAATATGTTTGCATACACCCGTAAATGCATTTTTTACATTGCAGAAATCTAAAATTATTTGTTTTAAAAAGGTAAAGATTCAAACAATCCTTTTTAATCAAAAAAGTCGCAGCGCAAGTTAAAGGTTGTTTACAAATTACGAAATCCGAATGATTGATATCTAAATAATATAAAGATACTGTTATGTTAACGATCTCTAGGCAACAATGCCAATATATAAACAAAGAAAAACATCCTTTAAGGACGAGCTCTTATCTGATTTCGCGAAATTATTTCCAAGTTTTCTTCCTTACAGTTACAACAAGGTAGTCAAGATATTGCTGCGATAGCGAACTAATAACAAAGAATTTATAAATATATATCCGCCGAAAATCGAATTTGTTTACGTAACCAACTCTTCCAAAACATGAACTTATCAACGGCTTCGAATCGTGATATGTCTCGAGCAGACTCACAATCTCCACCCACAACCACCAGAAGCAAAAGTGGTATCCAGTCATTTGAACAACTCAACGACACGACCTTAGGCAGCAGTGGTATATATGATAGCGCCTTGGAAAATCTCACCGCTTATGCATCATTTGACGGTATCTTTTGGATTTTATTTTTTATTTAAGCTGCTTTACACGGGTCGATTTTCTAGTCGACTTTTGTCGTTCAACCAAAATCGATTTGTCGGTCGACAGAAACCATTCCGAGTAGAGGTAGCTTTATAGTTTTTCCTGAATTGTGATAGTGCGGCGAAACCACAACCAGCCGTCTCAATTCATACTGTGTAAAATCTAATTGCATCTATTGCACTTATTTATACAGCGTGCAATTCTTACATATGCATTTCAGAAAGTGCCAATAACAATTCACACCTTAACGTTTCCACCGATTCAACATTAAACGGCAGCGACTCACATCGAAGTAATACAACCACCGGTTCATGCAGCTCATCCGCGACACGTGATTTGAATACGAACATCAGTGCCAGTATGCTGCTTTTACAGTCCGAAAGCACCGAGACTAATACTTCACAAGAGGAAGTCGATCCAAAATCCCAACTAGCAAATAAGACAATATTCAAGACGGATAATCCCAATTTGTCAATTATAGAAATTAGTGATAATTCAATCAAAGAGCAGGATCTGGAAAACTCTATAGTGCTAATAGAATCTTCATCGGATGATGAAAGTACTCAACAACCAAAAGCAACCAAAGCTGTTGGTGCAGGCGTCGCCAAACAAAAGATGTCACCGTCAAAAGTTGGAGATGCTGCTTCTACAGCAGCAGCAGAGAAGCGTCGAAAAAAAGCTGAATCTTTGATACACTCTAGTAAACAAAAACTGAACGTGGCAATAGCCGAAGCAGTCGCAGCGGAATCTAAAGCAGCACCTGGTAACACAGGTGAACCGAATAGAAATGTTGAGTGGGAAGCACAAGGTGATCA